TTCATTTTTGGTCAAAGTTTTTATGATCACACCAATTCTCTGACAAGAGGTGGGTGTTCCAATAATTCAGTTCAATTCCCTGAGTTAGTGCAGACCCCACAAGAGGGCCCCCACTTCAGATGCCAGGAGCGAGGGGCATCCCCAGGCTACCCACATTTATGCCTGGCAGACTATGGATTTGGGGGCTCCCGTGACTCTCCCATAAGTTCACTAGAATGTCTCACAGAACTCAGGAGAGTATTTTACCTATGATTACTGGCTTACTTCAAAGGATACAACTCAGGAATAGCCAAATGGAAAAGAAACATGGTGGGGTTTGGCGCAGAACTTCCAAGCCCTCCCCAGGAGGGCCACCCTCCCAGCATCTCAGTGTGCTCACCAGCATGCGGTCTCTGTGAATCCTATCATTCAGGGGTTTTTATGATGTTTCATGAAGTAGGCATGATTAATTAAATCAGTGGCCATTGGTGACTGAACTCAATCTCCAGCCCTTCTCCCCAGCCCAGAGTGGGGGTGGGGCTGAATGTTCCAACACTCTCCTCGGGTGGTTGGTTTCTCCAGCAACTGGCCCCCATTCTGAAGCTACCTGCGGGCCCACCCAGAGAACGCTCATTAGCATAAACTCAGGTGTGGTTGAAAGGGCTTTCCTAAGAATGACAAAAGGCACTCTTACCATTTAGGAAATTCCGAGGCTTTTAGGAGCTCTGTGCCAGGAACTGAGGACAAAGACCACACAGTTTTAATTATGTCACAGATCCCCTGATGTTATTCTTACTTAAATATCATAGTTTTCAGAACTGGAGAGGGGAAGGTGGGGGACCGGGGACCTTCTCCATAAGGCTGGTGTTTCCATGGCACTGAAGCCCTTGAGTCTTTTCTTTCAAATCCCAGTGTGTCTTCGGAACCATCCTATCCGCCCCCAACAAGGAAGGGGCTAGGGCTGCAGGCCCTTCCCTTCTTTCCTAGTGCTTTCCTTCCTTTTCCTTCAAGAGCAACCGGATTGAGCCTTTCCCCTCCTAGAGCTCTCCCTGCCCCGTGGTTGGTCAGTGTGGGGTCAATTCCTTGTTGTTCGCGGGCAAGGAAGGATCTGCTGTCTGAGGTCTTGATCATAACACTTAGCAGAGGGGGAGACGTCACACCCTGCTTCCCTCTTAGCGCTGAAGAAATGCAGCCCAGACTCTCTACACTCACCCGCAGCCCCCCCCTCCCTTCTGGCAGTCCCTCTCCTCACTCCTCCGCAGTCCAGCCACAGACAGCTTGGCCCTAGGGTTGTCGTCCTCCAAACATCCCAGGGGCTTTTCCACCTCTTGCCCTTTTTCCCTCAAGGTCAGCTTCTCTGCATATTTTTCTGTCAGTCACAAACGTTTCTTGGATTGTCCTGTCTGCCGTGCTGTGTGCTGGACACCAAGGGAGCTCAGAGGATGGAGGCAGGAGCTTTGCCCTCAGGCACTTACTCTCTTGGCCTGTGTATCAATGCTGGCTCCTCCCTCAGGCATCCCTCACTGCCCTCGACTGCAGGCCTACCTCCTCCCAGCCTCTCACCCACTTGGCATCTGGCACCACTTGTCTTGACATCGGTGTCTTCAGGCTTCTGGGTCTCCCCAGCTCGATGCTCAGACTGACTTCCTCCATTCACACCCGCGTCCTCGTGTCTGCCACAGAACAGACACTGCCCTCTCTGGTGAGTCAGACAGGTGAGGAGGAAGGACATGCCCAACAGGTACACAGGGGGCACATGTTACAAAGGGAACAAACAGTTCCTGAGATGGGCAGTGGGGTGCATGTTCGAGGAAGCCCTCGCTCTTTCCACCCTGGAGGTCCCACAGGGTCGGGTTCTGTGTCATACAGAGCTAGTCCCTCCATTGAAAAACGAGAGGACAACACACACTTGTTGAGAAATGTTAAACTGTCCATTATGTTTATTTCCACGTTTCAATACAAGTTATAGGCTTTCCATATAGAGGGGGTGTCACGGGGGTCACCTGATTAGAAAGAGGGACGGGGAGCCCAAGACAGAGAAGTCTCACTCAGCCACCCCAGAGAACAGGGGAGCTGAGGGAGGTGTCCCCTCCCAGCCACTCTCAGCCACGAACGGCTCCACTCTCATGGCCCCTTCTGCCCTGTTCCGTTCTGGTTCCATGTGAACTTGGGAGCTGAGTAGGCAGCATCATTGTACTTAACCAGGGTGAGTCTGGGTGCCTGTGGGAGGTGCGTGGCCGCAGTGTTGCCATCAGAACAAGGGTCCCGTTTATGGAGTGTTCTCTCTGAGGCAAGAATTGTGCTGATAGCTTTACATATGCAAGTCACCTCACTCCTAGCCCTTACAAAAGCCTGCAAGGTAGTGTCAGGAGTCATCTGTGGTGAACAGGTGAGGACCCTTATGCTTGGCAGGGTTACCGAATTGCCCAGGGGGTCGCAGCTAGAGGGAGGCAGACCTGTAACCAAATTCAGATCTGTCAGATTCCAGAGCCCCTAGTGCTGATGACCATGTGACCCTCTGCTACTTGGAATCCTTAGAATGTTCTGGGTGGCCTTCCACATGGAGGACATAATTTAATTCTGTGGAATAATGCTCTGAGTTAAAGTGGGTAGTGTTAACTCTGGAAGGGGTGACATTTCTGAGGTTATGTGGCTAGCGCAGTGCAGAGGTTCAACACTTCCCCGCACAGCGCATACTGGGAGATTGTAGTGAATGCTGGTCATGCTGGGGTTGGAGGGTAGAGGGATGGGTGGTTACACTGAGGGCGGGGTAGCCTGGTTCTTAGCAATCTGAGAAGAAAGAGAAGGGGCAGCCTGGAGCCCACAGATAAGGGTTCTGTCTCTCCGATCTCCCACTTTCCTCATCTAGAGAGTGGTCCTAATAGTAACGTCCACCTTACAGGAGGAAATGGCAGAAGTAACCTGCTTGGTCAGGAGGGAAGGGGCTATAGTCAAAGCAAGGCCAGCCATGCTCTGATGCTACCGTTCAGGCCACCATTTCTAACAGGCACCTGCCGCAGACCCAGCCCCAGTGCTGGTGGTACACCAGGTGTAAGCAGTGATGCTAGAGAGTGATTCAGACAGGCCTGGCCTTGGCCTCCAAGACTTAGGACTGAAGTTGAGAGGAGAACCACTGCTACGATTCAGTAATAACACTGCAGGTAGGCTAAGGGATGGACATGTTTGTAGGCTGGTGTCTCTGAACAGAGGGATCGTGTTCAATTTCTGGTAGAGACAATGGGTTGGAGGGGGTTGCTAGTGATGGCGGGGGTAGGGGGGCTGGGCCAGGCTGGTTTTATGGAGATGGGATTTCAGGAGCTTGGAGAGCTGAGCATGTGCTGCACGTGGGATTCTGGGAGACAATTCAGTATGTCTACAGCCTTGATGAGATAAGATTGTCAAGGAGAAGTTTTAAAATCGAAGGTATTAGCCCACATTTATTCTTTCACTTCAAGACTGACAGGTGTGATCTTCGTAGTAAAATTTTCTTTTTTTCTTCTGAAAGAGCTTGGGCTCTTATCACCACCCCACAACTTCTCAAATTCCTTGAGGACTAAGGTAGCAGGGAAATAAATGAACAAAGGGATGAAAAAGTGAGTGAAATATACATAGACAAAACGTTTATTGGGCATGCAGTATGTTCTCAGTGAGTCTCAAAGAGGTAGGTGGTGGTAGAGGTTGGGAGAGCAAGCCCTAGAGTTGGACTGTTTGTGTTGGAGTCTCGTCCTGCCACTTACTGATGTATGACCCTGGGTGGGTCACTTTAACCATTCCAGGCCTCAGTTTCCATTTTTGTCACCTGGGGCTGGTAATGGTACTGAGCTTATAGGGTTGTTGTGCAGATTAAATGAACGAATCCATTTAAACACATGCTACAGTGCCTGGCACACAGTGGGCATTCAAAAAAGTTAGCTATTAATATAAAATTATTTTATCAATGTATTCGTTTAATCATGGATGGAAAACTCCCATGCTTGTGGGCAGTCAGCATAAATGAGTGAACTGGGGGAGCTGAAGCACCAGATCTGAAGGGGAGACTGATGTTAAGGGGAATGTGGGGCCAGCGCTGTGATTTCCATAATCTCCTCTTGGGTAGTGTCACCCCAGGTGTCAGCACGGCTCCTGAAAGAGTGAAGACCTTCTACATTTTCTCCTCACGCTCTTATTTATTCATTTACTTCTCAAAACCCTGACTTTGGGAGCGCCGGCTCTTGCTTAGATCTCGAATTGCGTTTTGTTCTCCGTACCTCTGAGCCCAGTACGGGCCAGGTGGCCGGGCGCCCACGTCACCTTTCCTCCAGGTCCCGCGTACAGCACGTTTCTTTCAATCACAGACCTAAAAGAAGGGCCTCGAAAACTCAGAGTACCCGGGTGCGTCACCCTGCCCACGGTGAAGTGCAAATGAGAGGAGTGACTCTGCAGAGGTGGAATTTGGGGCGTTTGCAGCGCGCGGAGGGGCGGAGCGGGCTCTCCCCGGCTGACCCGGACTCACCAGCAGGTGGCGGTCTATCTGTCAGGCCTGCAACGTAACCGACCAAAAACTTGAACGGGATGTTGTTGCCACTGCAAGAGACTAGCGCAGCCGAGTCTCCTCGAGCCGAGCTGTCGGCATCCGCGAAAAAGTGGGGAGAGAAGAGAGCGGACCCCCTGCTGGAGTCACTCAAGGATTCAGACACTACGAGCTTCATTCGGGAAGGCTTCAGAAGGGGTGAGTACCGAGAAGCGCACGGAAAAGGGAGTGTTGTCCTTCTCTTAGGGCATTGTCCTTGGCTTGCACTGACTGGTTTCCGACTCTCTGGGAAGGACAGTTCTGGGAGGGAGCTGCCTGATCAGATGGATGGAGCGCGGGAAAGAAGCCGGGGAAGCTGGTGCCTGCGCGCCAGGCACTCTGCAGCGGGAGGAGCGCGTATTCCCTTCTGCCAGATGGCGCTCTCTGGCTTTCCCTCGGCCTCCCGCTCCAGTCCCTGGAGGCCGCCGCCGCAGCGGCCGCTCTAGCCGACCCGTGCGGGCTCTGTGGTTCCGGGCGGAAGTGAGGCGCCGAGCGGAACGGCCTCTGGTGACATTTTCTCCGGGCGGCGCGGACGAGTGAAGGGACTTGGTGGTGGAGGCTGTGGAGGTGGCGAGATTCGCTTTAGCCTCGGCCGGGCTTTGACCGCGACCCTCAGCTCGCCGCCGGGGCTTGTGCTGAGGAGGAGAAGGCGGCGGTGGCCGTCGCGCCCCGAGTCACCGCGGCCCGGGGAGTCCCGGTCGGGGGGTCGGTGCGTGCCCCGACGGGGCGCGCGGAGCGGGCGAGGAGGTACAGAGCTGCCGCGGAGCGCAGGTGAGTCGGGAAGGTGCGCAGGGCTGGGGCCCGGCTGCCGGTCGAGCGGTGGGACCAGGCTGCGTCCCGGGGAGGGGTGGAGTTGGGTTGGAGGGGTGCGGGCCGCGGGTGTGGGCTCTGCGGCGCCCGGGCTCCGGGGTCGTGACGGGCCCGGCCGGCGGGCGCAGAGTGTTGGCGCCCGGACTTGGCGGGACGCACGGCCCGGGTGGGGGCTCCCGGCAGGAGCGGAATCGCTGGACGCCTTGTTCGTCCGCCCGCTGGTGACCCTCGGGTCCTCCCAACCCGGCCGAGCTGGCGGGCGGAGCTTCCTCTCCCCTTCCCCGGGTCGCGGGTCCCTCTCCCGGGGGGCTGCGAGGAGGCTGGTGTTGCCGCTGCCCACGGGCCGCGCGGGGGAGCGGCTTTTCGGCCCTGGAGTTGTCTTCACGCAACTTTCCGGCGCCCCGGCCCGCGGGAGAAGAGGCGGCGGTAGCCCTGCCAACTCTGCCAGCTCCGCGAGCCGGGATCTAGCGCCGACACCTGTCCCTGCTCCCAGGAGCCCAGGCGGCCGCCCCAGCGCCGTGGCCTAAGAGGAGGGAGAAAAGGCTTCCTTCGGCTGGCGCCGCTTGCCTCTCGGCGCTTCCCCTACCTTCGGTCAGCAGACGCAGCCGGTCGATGGGAGGCATGTGTCAGCCTCCAAAATTGACCTCTTCTGGAGAGTTTGTCAACTTTATGTAGAAAATCGGCGAAGATGTAAACTGACGGGCCCGAAGTTAAAGATCGTTGTCTTCTTTGACCCTTCCCGGGGGTTTTTCACTTCTCCCCAGTAGCACTTTATGCTTTGTAATTTATTTCTTATAGCACCGACCTCAGTTTATGGTTGGGGCCGCAGCCCTCACGAGAAACCGCAGGTCGTTCATTCTCTCTTTTAAGTCCTCCTCTCCGCTGTCGCAGAATAGAGGCTCGCAGGTTGAACGAATGAACCTCTCTCTCTACTTGTTCTTCCAGATCGAACCGCCCGAGCAGTTTATGCTTAATGTGCTTTAAATTTCTTGACTGAGCTTTTGCTTTCTGAATCCATCCACCCAGTAGGATGAAAATCTCACTGATGATGCTTTGTCAAGGTTGGACCTCTTAATTACAAATACATCTGGCAGTTTTGCTTAGGCTATTATTGTGTAGTGTCGTTGGGCACATGCTAACAGTTTGAATCACTCCCTTTCTTCTCCAGGGATATTTTAAGGATGGAGGCTATTAACTTTCTAATGTAGTTTTGCTGATCCAGGCAATCTGGATTCCTCCATTAAGAGCATTGCCTTTTGGTTTAACAAGCATTTTTAGAGGCCTACAATTGATAGTTATTACCTGATGTCCTGAGGAGTCACAACGCTAACCGTTTGTTAGTGGGAAGTGTAGTATTTTGTGTGTCTAATCTGGCGAATAGGATGCTTAGTTTAGTGCTTTATGCACAGTAGGTGCTCAGTAAATAAAAAATTGAGTTAAATTTTAGTTCAGGAAACTAAGATGGAATTTACTGCAATGACCTGTGTTGCTTTAAAAAGAATTTTAGTGAAATTTCATGCAGTTCCATTGAGAAATAAAAATATTTTAGCCATTTTTATTTTTTGTTATTTATTTATTTATTTATTTATTTATTTTTTAGAGATTTTATTTATTTATTTGACAGAGAGAGAGCAGAAGTAGGCAGAGCAGCAGGCAGAGGGAGACGGAGAAGCAGGCTCTCCACCGAGCAGGGAGCAGGGAGCTGACATGGGGCTCGATCCCAGGACTCTGGGATCATGACCTGAGCAGCCCTTAACCCGCTGAGCCACCCAGGCGCCCCTATTTTTAGCCATTTTTAAATCAGAGTGCTTTTCAGTACCACTGTACTCTTAAAACTTCAAACTATACTTATTTTTCATAACATTAACATTTTGTAGATGTAAACGTCAATATAAGTGTATACAATATGAAAGGCAGAGAGAAATTTCTAGGTAATTATATCTAAAGTATCAGCTAAATGATTTCTTAATGAAAATATTTTTTTCTGACATCTTTTTGTGAAAAAGAAGTGGAGCTGGAAGCTTTCCCCAGTGCTAGCTTCATATTACGTTCACAGTGTAGTTGTTACGTTACTGATTTAGTTTATATTATTATTAAACGCATTTATGAAAGTGTTCTAATGCTCTTTGTCTTATACTCTTCGTGATTAACCCAAGATCTGATATTAAAGATAAATTCAGCTTAAATTTTAATTTAATGCAGTTCTCTTGGAACTGAGTGCTCAGTATATGTCCTCCAAAGATTTTATTTTATAAGTGACATTGGTACCTTAAGTACCATACAGTCTACTGTATGACTAGTAACTTCTCCAAGATTGTGTAACTTGGAAACTTAGTATTCAAGGAGTTGTTTTGCTGGGATCCTAAATCTTTCGGTTTTGTTCTGACGTCTGCATGAGTAAACTTGATGTATGTGGAATTAGAATGGTTTTTATTTATTTATTTATTTAAAAAAAATTTTTTTTTAAAGATTTTATTTATTTGACAGAGACACAGCAAGAGAGGGAACACGAGCAGGGGGAGTGGGGGAGGGAGAAGCAGGCTTCCTGCGGAGCAGGGAGCCCAATGCGGGGCTCGATCCCAGGACTCTGGGATCATGACCTGAGCCGAAGGCAGACGCTTAACGACTGAGCCACCGAGGCGCCCCTAGAATGGTTTTGTTTTTGTTCTATCTTTCTTTTTAAAGTTTGGAACAGGTGTATGGTAGAGACCCAAACCCTATGTTTGTAATTTTGGCAAATCATCTTAGACCTTCCTAATTTTCCTGCATGTGATTAGGGATGTGAAAACAAATGGATATTCATGCTTACATGCTTATAATTGACAGTACTTGAGAAAACCTGTAAAAGATTAAAAATATGGTACTTTTTTTTTTTTAAAGATTTTATTTATTTCAGAGCCAGTGAGCATGAGCAGGGGGAGGGGCAGAGGGAGAAGCAGACTCCCCACTGAGCAGGGAGCCTGATGGCTGGATCCCAGGATCTGGACCCTGGGATCATGACCTGAGCCGAAGGTAGATACTTAACTGACTGAGCCACCCAGGTGTCCCAAAATAGTGCTACTTTAAAAAATTTTTTTTTTATTATTATTTTTTTAAGATTTTGTTTATTTATTTGAGAGAGAGAGAATGAGAGGGGGGAGGGTCAGAGGGAGAAGCAGACTCCCTGCTGAGCAGGAAGCCCTATGTGGGACTCAATCCCGGGACTCCAGGATCATGGCCTGAGCCGAAGGCAGTCGCTCAACCAACTGAGCCACCCAGGAGTCCCTGAAATTTTTATTTTTAAGTAAATGTTACACCCAACATGGGGCTCAAACACGATCCTGAGATCGAGTCACATGCCCTGTGGATTGAGCCAGCCAGGTGCCCCTCAAAATGTGCTATTTATGTGTTTTCTTTTGAACCATACCGATTACGGTATTCTGTATTATTTTAGGAAAGAATCTGGGGCCAAATAAATTTTCTTGGATAGCTGTAGTGAAAATGAAATAGATATATTAGTAATTGGGGAAGAGCTATTGAAAACTTTGAGAAAACAGAGGACAACACATTTAGGTAGAACCTTTTCTCACAACACTAACTTACTGGTTGCTTACTGTGTGCCACTAGTGCTCTAGTTGCTAGAGATAACACTGGTGAATAGGACTGACAAGGTCCTGATGCTAAAAGAACTTAAACATTTAAATCTGACTTTGAGATGAGTTTCCAGGTGGGCATTCCAGGCTAGGTAACAGCTTACCCAAAGTCATGAGTGTCAATCTTGACTGGTTAAGTGTGGCCAGTGCCTTGAGTTTACAGAGGGATAGGTTGTGAAGGTACCTTACTCTGCTAAAGTGTTATTTTCTTTCAGGGGAAAAAAGCTAAGGTGGAATATGAAGGATGTGATAGGCATTCCTTTTGAAAGATTTTCTTCATCCTTATGTTCAGTGAGTAGAAATGTTACTGGTTTAATTTTATTATTAGAGAGAGCAAGCGAGTGAGCGAGCAGAGAGGGGCAGAGGGAGAAGGGGGGAGAGAGAATCTTAAGCAGGCTCACTGTGGGGCATGACAGTGACGCTGGGCTCAATCCCAGGACCCTGAGATCATGACCTGAGCCGAAATCAAGAGTCAGACACTCATTTGACTGAGCCACCCAGGTGCCCCACTGATTTTCATTTTTTATTTTGGGTTGATTCTTATTTGTCAGATTGGTAGTTATTTTTCTTTAGTTTTTAAATTCCAGTCTTAAATTTAAATTTGATTGTTGGCCTGAAACTTTTCTGAATCCTTTTAAGGTTTATCTTTAATTGTACCTACATTCCTTACTCTTTCAGGGCTCATGGTAGATAGGGGAAATAGTGTTTTCTGATTCTGTGTGGGCAGCCTCTCAGCACAAGTGGGATTGATGTTCAATTTTCACACTCAGCCTACAGATCCTTGTAAAAGGAAGGAGCAGGGTGAAACTAAGAAGTATTTTATATTCCTTCTATATTTCTGGGCTAAGGGAGGAAATGTGTGTTGTATATATTATACATATTTTTCATAACATATTAGTAGTAGATGATAGTAGTAAACATGGTTTAAAAATAACACAAAATAACCAGCATACTCAGTTTTGACGATTGTCTTGTTTAGGATTTGTGGCTTTATAGTGTTCATTTTAAGTTTTGTTTCTGTTCTCTTTCATGTCTTTATTTAAAACAGGGACCCTGATTCTGTCACTTAATAGCCAAGAGATAGATGGTATAAATTCTAATTTATTAATTTGACTTGATTCAATTTTAAAACTACCTGGATGGTTATTTTCTAGTTAAGATTAATTAAAAGTAGAAACCTACCACAGAACTGACTTATTTGTATGTGGGGGTGCTTATACCTGGTTAAATCAGAAGCCTATTTACTGAGTACTTAGGTGCCAGGTAGGGATGGGTAGAAAGAGAAGAGAAACAATTTCTGCATAAGGTACTCAAATCTAGTGAACCAGATGACCTCTAAGTTTCTTTCGTGCCCTAAAATGTGAAGAAAAGTAGGCTATACCAGAAAAAAGTACTGTATAGAAAAGTGTAGTATGGAGTTAGTCTTTTCCTTTATAAAATCATTTTATTTTATTTTTTTGAGATTTTATTTATTTGACAGAGAGACACACAGTTAAAGAGGGAACACAAGCAAGGGAAGTGGGAGAGGGAGAAGCAGGCCTCCCGCTGAGCAGGGAGCCTGATGCGGGGCTCATGACCTGAGCCGAAGGCAGAAGCTTAATGACTGAGCCACCCAGGCGCCCCTAAAATCATTTCAAATAAGGTATTGGAGTGGAGAATGACATTTTTCTTCCTCCTTGCCTGCCCCCCCGTGACATTTTTCTTAAATAGGTCTCTAAGTGTGAAAGAAAATGATTGGAGACTTGAGTTTTCTTTTTTGTATTGCCAGTTCATTTATAAAATACTTTTTCCTCTGCCTGGAATTCAAGTCCATGTATTAGTAAATTAATTTTGATTGTTCAAAGAGCAAGAAAATTAAATCTTTTAAAACTTATGGCAGTCATTCCTAAGACTGTGGATAAACTAGGCTTGTGCTTAGGTAATTTAGAGTTTTAAGTTTTCATTAGCGTGGTAAACATTAGGGAAATAAGATACTGACCAAAGTGTCCAGAAGTTATTTTATACTGAGTTGTCTGGTTTAAAAAAAAAAAAAAAACTTTTATGATGTTCTGAGTCAGCATTTTGCTAGGTGCCTTATAATTAGAGAAAGGTATTGTTGGGGATAGGGAAGTTGGGTGTGGACTAAAACTCTGGGAAAACAGGACTGTTTTCCTGTCTGTATTAAGAACAAAAACCTCATGTGGTTAAGATTTTAAGTGGTATCCTGTCTGCCCTAGTTTTAACCTAGCATGGAAGCATAGTTTATTCTTACATCAGTGCTTTATCATCAAGGGTTTCCCATTACTTTATTACACTACAGTTCATCATATAATTGCTATGTTAGGTTTTTGGCATCATTTATCTTGGGGACCTCAGGTCCTAGCATGTGGTGACCCATCTTTATCCCATCTTTATGTGTACTATATTCTGAGGGAGATAGAAATGGCCAGAGCAGAGATCTTGGAGGAAATCTAGAACCTGTGTTTTTAAAGTATCCTTGATTTATACTGGTGGTGCTTTTGAGTACTTAGAGGGTCTCACATCAGCCATAGTGCATTCTTTCCTTTTGGTACTTCCTTGGCTCTTGATGCTGGTTTATTCACAGTCTGAGGCTGGGCCAGATACATGTCAGTAGTGGTAGTATCTGCAACATGAAGTGATTTGAGCAGTCATTATCACTCTTGGCCTATTTATAGAGCTTGTATCAGTGGAGAAGAGGTTGGCTGGCAAGCAAGCAAAGCCACTCTTCCCGTGGTTGCAATCTCACAATTTATATTTCAGTCTGGGTGGGCCAAATCCATTCAGCTGCGTTAATTTTTAGTGTTCCTTTTCTGTACTCCAATCTTTTAGCACTGCAGTTTCTTAGTCAACTTCACTCATGAAGGAAAAAACCCAAATAACTATTATCACTCTGAAAATAATTAGCAATAATTCCTTACTGTCATATGATATTTAGTGTTCAGATTGCTCCATTGTCTCATAAATGTATTTTTATACTTATTCTCACTGAATCAAAAAAGGTCTATGTATTGTTTGGTAATCTAAAGGTTCCCCCTACATTTTTTCCCCCTGGCAAATTGTTGAAGAAACAGTTTTCCCCATTTGAATTTGTCAATTACATTCCTATGGTGGTTTTAAACATGTTCCTCTGTCCCCTCGGTCTCTTGTTATTTGGTATTAGGTTTAGAGGTTTGATCAGATTCAGTTTCTATAATGTATATTGTTTTTTTTTTTTTTTTTAAGATTTTATTTATTTGAGAGTGGGGGAGCGGGAGAGGGAGAAGCAGGCTCCTCACTGAGCAGGGAGCCTGATGTGAGGCACGATCCTGAGATCATGACCCAAGCCGAAGGCAGTTAACCAACTGAGCCACCCAGGCACCCTTGTAATGTATATTGTTTCTCTCCTTTTTCTTTGAAGGGGCAAAAATATACCTTATCGATGATGTTGAGTAATTGCATCAGGAGGCACATAACATTTGGTTCTCTGTGGTGTTAGCAGCTGTTGATACTCATTGCTGAGCTGCATTACTTAATTATTCCTAATTCCTCACTCTGAATGCCTTTCATCATTCCCAGTTCTGAGCCTTTTATACTGAACCTTGTTTATAGCCTTTTCAACCTCTCCCTTTTGAGAGCTAAGGGAAGGGATGAGTTGCTGTGGAGAAGAGGGCTATTTCCGCTACATTGTAATATTATAGGGGGTTTATTTCAGTCCTGATCTTTGGTTCCTGCACTGTTCATATTATCCATGCTACCTACACCTTCTCAGGGGAAAAACTAACCCCAAATCCAACAAATAATCGAAAGAAGTCCTTTGGGAGCAAAATTTATCTTGAGATATTGGTGCTTACTAAGATAAGAGTACTGTTGTCATTAAAGTAGGTTAGTGGGCATCTGGGTGGCTGAGTTAAGCTTCTGCCGTTGGCTCAGGTCATGATTCCAGGGTCCTGGGATCGAGTCCTGCATGGGGCTCCTTGCTCAGCGGGAGTCTGCTTCTCCCTCTGCCCCCTCTCCCACTTGTGCTCTCGCGCACGCTCTCTCAAAAATAAATGAAATCTTAAAAAAAAAATAAAAAATGAAGTGTGTATATATATAAAAATGAGAAAAGTTAATTTTCTATTTCAAAAGATTTGGCAACATCACTGTTATAGACATAATGGACTCTCTTCCTAGAACTGAACACCTGGGGAGGGGGGCTTTTTGTGACCTTTAGTAAGATAATGCTGCTTTTACCTTATTTGTGTTATGTTGCCTAAGAAATTTAGTTTCATAGTGTCTGATTTTTGCATCTTTATGCATAAGTTCACAACATTTATATACAGTGTTCTAACTAAGGAAACAGATTTACTAGGCTGTTAGTGGTGTCTGTTTTTGTCTTACGTTTTTATGTGGAAAGATAAAGGAGAGTTACACTGTCAGAAATCATGTTGACTCTGTGTAATGGAATACGTTTTTATATACAAGTTGATAGTGCTGTTAAGCAAAGAAGGGGTTCCATTAGTGGTCTTGGTGATTTTTAAAAATGATTCAGTTCATCAATTTAACAAATATTTATTATGTATTAGGGAAAACATTATATATTAGGAACTGTGAATGAACTGAAGATGATTAACATAATCCCTGTTTTCAAAGGAGATTGCAATATAATGGGGCTGAAGGGGATGAGTAAAAACATTTGCACAAGTAACTGGTTTCTTTTTATTGCTTTCTTCATAATGTGCTGTTTCCCTCCTCCCCTGTGTTTAAGGTTAACTCTTAATTTCTTGGGCTTAAATTTTCTCATTGTTGTGTGTGTGTGTGTGTGTGTTTTTGCTTTAAAAATCACTCTCATAGCAGTGTATGTGTTGTGTGGCACAGTCAGAAAAATCAGGTAATAGTAGGTGCTAATTTTTTTGGATGATTATTTATATTGTCATTCTCTCCCACCATTAGATTGTCATACTATCTCTTCTGATACCCAACTTGTCTGACACTGTAGAGTCACTTTATAATCTTTGACAGTTGCCTACATCAGCAGGAAGTAGGCATACAGAACTGTTTGAAAGCCATTCTAGTTTTATTTTCTTGGGTTGCAATGTATCTCTTGGTCTCTGTCTTCTGTTCATGTTTATATTTTAAAAAGTAAAACCATGCAAAACTTCAAAACACCTTAACGTGGGCTTTTTTTTTTTTTTTTTAAGTTTTTAGGTGTAGGGTAGGCTAAGTTTGGCAAAGAACTTAGAAAGTGGTTTTAAAGACCCATGATTGATTGTCATGGATTTTGCTTTTTTTTTAATCTTGGTCCCAATTACTAGGAAAGTTACTACTACTTAAAGTGAGTTAGTAGAATATGCAGGCTATAATCTATTTTATATCTTAACTGTCTTGGAGGCAGAAATTTCTATTCTCTTAGAGTTAAGCTGCATTGTTGTTGGTGGTCTCATGATTTTTTTTTTTTAAGTTCCATTCATATAAGAAGTGTTTTTACAACAGCGTAGAAGCAGTCCAGTTGCTTTGATTTTTAGTGCTAGGAGAGTGCATCATTTTTTTTTTTTTTCAATCACCTATGCGTTCATTTCTTTAGAGAAAGAGGTAAACATCAGAGTATAAAACCAAGGCCAAAATAACTTTGCAGAATTAGGCTGTGTCCAGGAAACCAGTCACAATTCAACTGGATTGGACTTCAACACAGAAATGATTGTGTTCCTCCAAATAATCTTCAACTTCGGAAGCTTACATTCCTTGAATATGTGGAAAGATAAATACACCTTCTTCTGCTGTCAGTTGCTGAGAAAGAACTTTGTTCTCCTGATGGACCAACACTGTTTCTTTTTTGCTGCTCTTTTCCCTTCTCCTTTCTTTGGTTTCCCCTTGCCACGAAGCTTCTTTAGACGCAACTGCTCATCCCTGAAGTCCTGGTGCTCGCCTCTATAGAGGCCAAGAAAACGTAGAGTCCCCATGAGCGCAAAATAAGTGTTGTGATTTGGGTACCAGTCATAAGTCTCCTTTCTCTTGGCTAGAGGCTGCTCACTGAACAGTTTCACCACTTTCATGGATTTGGAATCAGTAGGCCTGGCCACTTCACCGAACAGCCGGGCACTCAGACGAGTCATGCGCAAGGCATATTCTGAAAGTGAAGACATTTCTTGAGCAGCAAGGAGCAAGAGTCCCTACTCGCGACCTTCCTCTCCCGCGCGCTCCTCTTCCGCGAGAGTGCATCATTTTTGAATCATAGATTCAGTAATAAAGGCATAGTTGAGGGGTGCCTGGCTGGCTCTGTCAGTAGAGCATGTGACTTGATCTCGGGGTTATAAGTTTAGAGCCCCATGTTGGGTATAGCAATTACTTAAAAATATAGAATTTTTAATAGAACAGCCTCTTTAATTTTTTTTAGGGGGGAAGGGGCAGAGGGAGACGGGGAGAGAGAACCTTAAGCAGGCTCCTTGTCCAGCGTGGAGCCCCATGTAGGTCTTGATCTTATAACCCTGAGGTTGTGACCTGAGCCGAAATCAAGAGTTGGATGCTTAACCCACTGAGCCACCCAGTTGCCCCCAAAATAAAAAGTCCTTAAAAAAACCCAAAAACAAACACATATAACTGAATATTTAAACTGTAAGCCAGCTAATAATATTTGGATTTCAAAGCTAAACCAATTAAAAAAATAACTAAAAAATTTGCTTAGATTGCTGTGAGGCTATTTGGACAGCACTTCCCTTGCTTAGTAACTCCTTCCCTCCTTTATATGGCATAGTTTTAACTTTTTTTTTTTTAACCATTTTTATTTATTTGAGAGAGAGAGGGAGAGCCCAGAGGGAGAAGTAGACTCCCTACTGAGCAGAGAGCCTGATGCGGGGCTTGATCCCAGGACCCTGAGATCATGACCTGAGCTGAAGGCAGATGCTTAACCGACTGAGCCACCCAGGTGCCCCAGCATAGTTTTTACTTTTATTGATTAATTGTACGGTATGCCTTGGGCATGGTTTTAAGTAAGTACAGTATGGAAAAGTATACTGCTTGTGTGGTTTCTGTAAAGTGAATAAAACTTGGTTTTAGGTAAAGTTATCAGAGTAGCCCTGTTTACTTAAGTGTAAAATGTCGATATATTTTGATTTACACAAATTTTTTTTTTTTTGGTTAAAGTTTATTATTTTTTTTTAGTAATCTCTACAGCCAGTGTGGGACTTGAACCCATGACTCCAAGATAAAGAGTTGCACCCTCGGGGCGCCTGGGTGGCTTAGTCGGTTAAGCGTCTGCCTTTGGCTCAGGTCATGATCCCAGGGTTCTGGGCTCAAGCCCCGCGTTGGGCTCCTTGCTCAGTGGGAGCTTGCTTCTCCCTCTCCCTCTGCCTGCTGCTTCCCCTGATTGAGCATGCGCGCTCTCTCTGTCAAATAAAATCTTAAAAAAAAAAAAAAAAATTGCACATTCTTCCAGCTGAATCAGCCAGGTGCCCCACAAAACATGTATTCTTGTATAATTGTGGGTGAAACCAAATTATGAAGTGGCTTAGTATTTATTTAAACATTAATAGCTTATATTAATTGAGCCATAGATTTAAACAAGGAAAAAAATGGCATGTTATTTGCATTTCCTGTAGCTACTATTGAAAAAATATTTGTCATTAAGCCTTTATCATTATTATATATATCTGAAAGGCATGTGTTAAGCTAATATGATGCATTTGTAGATAAAGTTAGTGCTGAAGTAAAGGGTAACTGCACTTGGAGCAGAGTTCGTCCTTAAAATTTTTAAATGGTTGGGAAATTATTAAAAAATAAGGGATTTTAAAATGCCAGTGTTTGAAAAAGCAAAGTGTCCTCAAGATTCTATTTTAATGAAACTTACTTTTAAAAAATGATATCATAGGCCCTAGCAAAATATCTTTTGCTTAATAAATACTGAATATAAATATATGTTGTTCAACAAATATTAAGTGTCTGGTAGGTTTTGGGTATTTTTCTAGATGCTGCAGATACAGTAATCAGTGGGACAAATCCCCTGCCCTCTTGTATCTCATATTCTGTGAAGCAGACAGACAATAAACTGTAAACACAAATGAGCAAGGTAATTTTAGTCTCCTTTTAAAAAACAGAATAATGGGATATGGGTGAGAGAGGAGGTGTTTTAGTATATTTAAGGAAGGCCTTTTAAAGGTGAGTTTGAATTGAGATCTGAAATACAAGAGCGAGCCAACTTTCAAAAAAGAGCGACAGGGAGTGCTTTCCTGGTAGTGGGAACAGCAAGTGCAAAATCCCCTGAATCAGAAAAGATCTTAGCATGTTGAAGAATTTGGAGCCTAATGAAGCAAAATGATGCTGAGGTGAGACTTGAGCAATACATGCCTTATAGGCCTTACTGTTGAAACTGTAGGTCTAAGCAAGGAGCAGTCTTGTTTACCTTCTTTGGTGTACAGTGTAGATGTGCCTTGATTCACACAGAAGAGATATTCTTGTATATTTATGGGCAAAACCCAAATTTTAAATATCAAACCTCAAATACATTAGGAAAGCTTATTTGAAAGGAGTCTATATGAAAGCCTTATCTTTAAAGTGTATAACCTCAGTGATCTTTTGTAAAGATCCAGATGTTCAGAACTTCATTCTGGTTAAAGGAGGCTACTTGTGTAGCACAATCTAGTCTTAGGTTAAGAAGCAGGTTGGAAATTCAGAAACTGTTCTAAATATATCTATCTAAATCTATCTAAATATATCTTGGCCATTGACCTATATATTCTTTTCTTAGAAATGAGGATTATATATTTCAGGTTAACTATGAGCAATAATTAATAAAAATAATTATAATGTTCTGGAAACCTAAATGGAATTGTTTAGGTAGTTGTCAGTGCAGATAGACCACTTATTGTGTGTATCTTTTTAAATTATAGCTTTTTTTTTTTAAGATTTTATTTATTTATTTGACATAGAGAGAGAGAGAACAAGTAGGCAGAGAGGCAGGGAGAGGGAGAAGCAGGCTCCCTGCTCAGCAGGGAGCCTGATGCAGGACTCGATCCCAGGACCCTGGGATCATGACCTGAGCCGAAGGCAGCCGCTTAACCTGCTGAGCCATCCAGGTGCCCTTTAAATTATAGCTTTAAAAAAAGCCTACAAATAGGCAATAAAATAGCCATCAGTTTTTAAAAATAGTGACTAAAGCAAGGCTTTTCAGTAGAAATCGCCTCTATCTTTTTTTGCTTTTTAAAATATTCCTTGAGGGGTGCCTGGGTGGCTCAGTCAGTTGGGCATCCAACTCGTGATTTCGGCTCAGATCATGATCTAATCTCCTGGGCGGTGAGATCGAGCCCTCAGTTGGGCTTTGCGCTCAGCAGGGAGTCTGCTTGGTATTCTCTCCCTCTACTCCTCCCTCCACGTGTGCATGCTCTCTCTCTCCCTCTCTCTCTCTCTGTCTCTCACACATACACACAGATAAATCTTTATTTATTTATTTTAAAGATTTTATTTTTTACTTGAGAGAGCCAGAGAGAGAGAGCACGAGCAGAGTGAGGGGCAGGGGGAGAAGCAGACTCCCCACTGAGCACGCAGCCCAGTGTGGGGCTCAATCCTGGGACTCTGGGATCATGACCTGAGACGAAGCAGACCCTTAACCAACTGAGCCACCCAGGTGCCCCAATAAATAAATCTTTAAAAATAAAATAATCCTTGAAAGTTTTTGAAACATTGAGGTCTTGGCTAATTCATGGTTGAGTTTTATGCTGTATCTAAAATTGGCAGTAGTCATCAGTAATAGTGCTTACAGGCACTAGTTTTCTAATGGTGAGAAGCAAAGGCCAGAGCAGTGCAGATTGCTGTCATGTCGACTTTTCAGTGAAGTCCGCAAGTAAATCCGTTAGCTGTGCTGGTTTTCTGTTAGCAGCGATGACTGTAATATGTGTATATTGTAGCATCCCATGCATTTTTTAAAAAGCAAGAAGGAGATGTAATAGGTTCATTTAACTTTGATTTTGATAAGTCCAGTGTGCAGCTGGCCTCTAACCTAGTTGGAGCTGGGAACTCATTTGATATCCGGGTACTCTTTTTCTGTTTGTATACTGGCTCCTACTGTCTACTGCTTTTCTTTGTGGGCTTCATTTTCAGTCAGGCCTTCCTCTCATGAGAGCACAGTTGACTTTCCAGCAGCTCCAAGCTTACAATTTCCTCAGCATTTAAGAAAAATGAATAGACTTTATATTTTAGAGCAGTTTTAGGTTTGCTGAGAAATGGAGAGGAAGTACAGAGTTCCTATATACCTCCTCTTCGGTTTCCCTGTTATTAACACCTTGCATTAATTTGGTACATTTGTTAACAATTATGAGCTAATATTGATACATTACAAAGTCCAAGTTTATATTAGGTCTCACTTTTTGTGTTGAAAAATAGAGATACCGTACCACGGAATAACAGTTCTGTGGATTTTGACAAATGTCTAATGCCTATCATTATGGTATCCGACAGAGTAGTTTCACTGCCCTAGAGATCTCCTTTGCTTCACCTGTCATTCCTCCCCCTTCTCCATTTCTCCTTGGCAACCATGGGTTTTTGTTTTTGTTTTTGACTTTATTTATTTTAATAGACTTTATTTCTCTTTTTTAGTAGTTTGTTTAGAGCAAAATCGAACGGAAGGTACAGAGATTTTTCCATATGCCCCTTGCTCTCACACATGCATAGTCTGCCCCATTATCAACAACCCCCATCACAGTGTACGTTTCTAACAACTGAGGAACCTGCATTGACACATCGTCACCCAGAGTCCGTAGTTAACATTAGAGCTCACTCTTGGTGTTGTACAATTTTTGGGTTTGGACAAATTTATAATGTATATCCACCACTGTAATATTATACAGAGTAGTTTCATGCCCTAAAAATCCTCTCTGCTCCACCTGTTCATCTTTCCCTCCTCCAGACCTCTGGCAACCACTGATCTTTTTACTGTCTCCATAGTTTTGCCTTTTCAAAAATGTCATATAGTTTGAATAATAGAGTATGTAGCCTTTCATATTGGCTTCTTTTACTTAGTAATATGCATTTAAGTTTTTTCCATGTCTTCTCATGGCTTAATGGCTCATTTCTTTTTTAAGAGAGATTTATTTATTTTACAGAGTGAGAAAGCAGGCACAGGTAGGGGGAGGGGCAGAGGGAAAGGGAGAGAATCTCAAATAGATGCCCTGCTGAGCTTGGATCTCGAGGTGAGGGGCTCAGTCTCACCACCCTGAGGTC